ATAATAGTGATTGCAGCGATGACAGTAATAACAAGTCAACTAGATAATATGCTCATCTGAGCATCAAGTGAAGGCTGAGAACCCTGAGAGAGAGAGAGAGACGGATGTATAGCACAACACATGCGCTTTGAAAACAGTTTGGAAAGACCCCCGTAACCCATTCTAAACAAACAGAGTGTATACTTACTGACTGACTTTAGAATGACGATTATTGTGATTTCGGATAATTAAATATCGTCTTGAATGATTGTAAACGAAGATGAGGAGAATATATGTGTAATATAGTTATAGAGAGAGAGATACAGGGGGTTGAAGAGGGAAGTATAATAAAAGTAATATTCCGTCATTAGATAATTCATCACACAGTATAATCCCTGAATGAAGACAGTTAATCAACAACAACAACAGAAAATAATAGTGAAGACAAAAAGTCAATATATCTTTATTCCCCGAGATGATGATTGATTGTGTAATAGATGGGCTTTGTGGTTGTGGGGGACGTATATAAGCCTTTCCTTCAATAGGGATTTTTACTGAAATTGGTGACGGGCTGCAAGTGAGTGAGATAGACGGGAAAGTGAACTGTGATTGCATGTAGTTCCATGTTGTTGTTTTTTAATGCATAAATACTTTGAAAAGAAAAACAAACAATCAATAGGTGGATTGGATAGATAGATAGATGGGCGGGTTGTTGGGATTCCCTGAGAATTTGTAGACATGGAAAGGCATATATGCATGCATACATGGAGAATATAAATTCACTTGATTATATGAGTAGGCCGATGATTTTTTTCTCTGCTCTTCTTCGATTGAACAATCCCATCTCACAAAAAATCAGCTCCGAAGTAACAAATTTTCTATAAATTAGAAAAAGAAAAAAGCAAATTAGGAATAAAACATCAGTGAGTTGATCAGTGATTAAATACGTAGTATATTACATTCATAATTAACTGGCTATATATATATATATATAAATTACAGGAAGCTGTAAGAAACAAGTACTGAAAGGTTAGAACGCATCACCCTACTGGGCATTATAGGTGTGTCCTTCTGAAGACTGGGGAAAAACGTCTTTCAAGCACTCTCGACTGGCTTTTATTGTTTCCCCAAATGATATCGATCAGTCGACAAAAACTTGAAACTAATGAAACGCCTACAAACTTACAGGTGAATAAAAATTTGCCAGAAGTTCTATTAGGGTATCATGACCGGTAGGATCCACCAAGTTGGTTGTGAGGATAAAAAATTTGCCGATGACATTGGGTGGCGGCGGCACTAAAAATCGCGAGTTCACACAGTTTAGAAATGATAAGCTATTTGATCTTGTTCCAGTGGCTAGATTGTTACTTAGTTTGCCTAGAAACCCTACAGAGTTGATTTTAAATCCCGGTGGGGTCATGCAAGCGCACTGACAGAGTCCCAAACTAGGTTATTATTATTATTATGAGCTGAGTGACTCAGTTACAAAGCTTTCATGAACGTAATTATAGAAAATTCCCAAAGGCTAGCCTTATTTTTAAATCCTCTCTGAAGAGGCTGTGTAAATTGAGAATGAAAGCATGAGAGCTTAAACAGCACATGTTAGGTAGCGCAACCAAACTTAAATACAACAATAAAATAAGACTCATGTAATATCTGAATTTGTAGATTTCTTCCAGCTTCTTTCAGGAAAGGAAGGTATCGAAAACACTCTACTAAGAATTCATATTATTATGTTATATATTATAATACTATTATTATTTCCTTAGCTTTCCAAAGAAAAACAGAGCTTCTAAGGCACACATCCCGGCTTCACTATGTTCTCTGCATTTATTTTCAGCTGGCTCTGGGATTTGTTTTCATTTCCCCCTTATATGAAATACCTGGAAATGACCAACTCATCGCTTCATATTCAAGGCTTGTGTAATGCTACTCATCGTTCTCCTTAGAGTATAACGAGTCTATCTAGGCTTCGTTCTGCATTTTAATTGATCAATCGATTCATGTATCATTTTGTGCAACATGATTCACACACATCCTGATATGGGACAATCCTCTGCAATAGTGCGACGGTAAAATACTCACCATATACTCAATCATCCTTGGTTGATGAACTGTTAAACCCTACCTAGTCTCCTAGCCGGTAGTAAATCAAGAGAACCGGACCGGGAGAGCCAGTTACCTCATCCTGCAAAATAATACAACAGCACCGCTGGTAAAACTTAAAAAGTTTTTAGGCCTTTATTCTAGTCAAAACTTAATGGAATGATCAAAAGAGGAAAATACTCTACGATAGCGCCAAAGTTTAATAATTACATCAGTGGATTAGGCTGTTGAGGGGGGAGGTCAGTTGCTTCATACACTTTTTACATCTTATCCATTTCATTGACTTCATTCAATAAGTAGAGATGAACATTCATTGCAAAATATTGGTTACACTTTTCAATAACTAAATGAAAAATCCCCTCGAGTTTGAGCATGGATTGATATCAGTTAGAGAACCATTGAAACCCAGAAAGTACTGGACAGCCAGCTGCTTCATCCTAGTTCGGGAATTATAGGTAGTACGCACCCTCACTCGGGTTAGAACCCAAGACCTTCTGGTTACAAGGCCAGCAAGCTCGTATACCATGTAGACATTGGGACCCAAAGGAATGACCCCCATAAATCCTAACTGCTGCCTATTTGCGATTTTAGCGCGACCACCAACCAGCGTTATCGGCGGGAAATCCATAATCACTCTAGCTCGACTGAATGGACCTCACTGGTCACAACTTCTCATTAGGACTCTAGGGAAATCCATCCTATAGCATATGACCGCTAGTAGTGTTTAGATTATGTAGACTTCCTCATGAGCCAACATCAATTACAGATTATTGAAAGCCAGGAAGCACTGGATGGATGGATGGATGGATACCTTATAACTCTTAAGTAATGCAAACCTACAAATCCACCAGGGATAGAACTCCGAATCTTCAGGTTACGAGACTAAACCTATCGATCATCCAGTCATTTGGGCGAGAATCTAATAATTCGTGAATTCTATTTAATTTTCTATAGTTTGGTTTGTAAGGGTTAGTTTTGTTTTTTATGAGGTGATCACGGATTGATATCAGTTAGAGAACCATTGAAAATCAGCACTAGAGTACTGGACAGTCAGCTGTTTCATCCTAGTTTTAGGAATCATCGTCAGTACGCACCCACTGGGATTCGAACCGAGGACCTTCTGGTTACAAGGCCAGCAAGCTCGTATACCATCCATCCACTGGGACCCGATTCAATGACCAGCCAGTGCATGAATTCTAACTTCTACAAAAACAAAACTAACCCTTACAAACCAAATTATAGAAAATTAATCCAATGCTCGCCAGTGACTTGCTACAGGATGGAGTTTCCTGGAGTCAGTTCTAGTGAGAAGTCGTGACCATTGAGGTCCATCCAGATGTTACGTATGAGGATGGATGTTCCACCAACGACAATGGTTGGGGTCGAGCTAAATCACGAATTGGTAAAAGTTAGAATTCATGCACTGGCTGGCCATTGAATCGGGCGGGTCCCAGTGGCTGAATGGTTTACGAGCTTATTGACCTTGTAACTTGAAGGTCCTAGGTTGGAACCGTGGTGGTGAGTGCCTACTGCCGATGATTCCCAAACTAGGACAACAGAAACAGCAGCTGTCTGGCAGTACTCCCAGCTGATTTTCAATGGTTCTCTAACTGATATCAATTCTACTTAACTTCTGCTACCCTCCCCCCCGTCATGAGCTCTACTCCTGGTGGTGGGATAACGAAGTGTACACTACTGATTAAGAGATCTTGGATTTTATTCTTCTTCAACAACAGTTGTCAGTTTCTTTTTGACGAAATCTATACTGAAATTAAATGAAATGAAATCTATAGATTTATGTGTTGTTTTTTTTTAATTAGCAAAGTAAAAATAAGCTGAATGTATATGTGAAAGTTTAAAATACGCGCGCATAAACTAAATCAACAATTTTTCATTTTCTTTTTTTTGTTTTTGTTTAAATCAAACATTCAGAGTGGATGTTTTTTACAACTTTGCTATTTTGCTATTTTGATCTGTTAATTATGAAAAAATGTACGTAGATGATGCTGAGATAATTTTAAAAACTAAGATAAAAAAAGAATTTATAGGTTTCTTACCTTCCTCATTAATTAATTAATGAATTAATTAATTAATTGGTTAAGTGACCTTGAAGTGGCTACTCATTTATAATTTCATCACTGAGATGAGATAACTGACTGCTTTACTACACAAAAGACTTACTAGTACAAGTCAATACTTTTGAGATTGCATAAATGCACTTGAAATATATATATATGTGTATATATATATATATATTAGCCCAAAATACCACAGCCTTATATGTATATATATAATGCAAAAGTTACTTAAAGCTAATTAGTAAGACTATTAAATTCACGAAGAGACAAGTATTTAAGTAAGTAAGTGAGATAAGCGAAACATAGAAGGCGTAATTCCGTTAATAATAATAATAATAATAATAATATCTAACTTACAAGAAATGATGACAGCATTCCATATTACTAGATAGGTATACATACGTGTATATGTATATGTATATTATTTATGTCTCCTGATGTTCACAATTATTATTCTCATTTATCGGTGATGTTAACGAATTTATATTTTGACTAGTATCCGGAGTTGACGATAGTAAATCTGATTGTGAAATTGGTGAGGTAGTTGTAGTCCGTTGCTGTTGTAATTGACTGTGTTGATGCAGATCAGATGCTTCTGATTTGTAATTAACAATATGATCATTGTTATTATTATTATTATTACTATTATTATTATTAGTCCCATTCGTGGTCATGTTTATCCACATAGGCTGTAAACCATCATTTGTACTAGATGGATGACTAAGATTGCTATTGGTAGTAGCATTAGTATTACTATTGTTATTATTATTATTATTATTGTTATATCCTGTTGGTGTGTTTGAACGTGAGTTTCGACTATTCACCGACATAATTGATTCATTCATTTGCATATGATCAGATTGGTTTTGTAATGATGACAGCCCAGTTGAGGATATTGTGGAACTAACAATTTGACGCTGAGATGATGTAAGTGTACCTGGGCAAGAGAATTGAGGCGAGGATTGTAATGCAGAGATTGGCGTTTGAATCCGTTGATGTTGTTGAGGCGGTTGTTGTTGAGGTGATGGAGCCAAATAATTAGTTGAAACTGTTTGTGTTGAAGAAGGAGAGCATTCTCTAGAATTTGAATAAGGATTTGAGTTGGAGGGATTAAAATTCATAGCGGTATCATGATAGCTAAATTGTCCGGTAAATCCACGTGATTGATTCACTGAAGATGAATCGGAATTGTTGGATAGACTTGTCGATGATGTTGATGATGAATATGAACTTCTTAGATGATGAGATGAATCAGGAGTTAAGTGTGCTGTATGCTGTTGTTGTTGTTGTTGCTGATGATGATGAATTTGATGCTGAATGTTTTGTTTATGATTGACAACATGCATTTGACTGTCAGAAGCACATTGGTCAACACCAACACCTTGAATTCTATCATTACCAGCATAAGTCATATTTTCATTATTAATTGAACCAGGTACCATAATAGGTATGTCTGGCCTGTTGTTAAGTGGCTGGTTTGGATAGTGATGGTGAACAGCCTGAGGGACGGGTACTGCTGAAGAAGAAGATGATGAAGAACCATAAGTGATGTTAGAATTTGTAACTTCACCGTATGGTATAGGTTGTGGGCAAACAGATACAAGATCTGGACACACAGAATATGAATTGCCTGTATGCTGAGCACCAGTACCTGCTGCTTGTGGAGGCATAGCTGGAGTAGATGTTTCTTCATGTGGAATATCATAGGTTTCAGCATATAATGGCGCTAAACGTGTACGATACCAATTCTCCCGATACCAACGCATGCATAATTGCACTTCATCACCAACTGTAGCAACTTGACTAATTACATTACGTACTTGTCCAAAAAGAGCTGGTTCTCTTGATCGATTACGTTCTAATTGCATACGAAGAGCAGCTAAATGATGATCTTGTATTACAGCTACCTTGTTTGGCTCCATTAAACCATAGCGATCTGAAAGGTAATCGTAGAAAATCTATGGTTAACAAGTGTCGTTTAGAGTGAATAAATATATGAAGGAAAATTGAAGTGTAATACTATGGATGTCCACATAAGTCATCTTAAGAACTACGACGGATACCTATCGTAAGCGTACAATTGTTCAGGTGACAACAAACAAAAGCATGTAGTTAGTCGTAATGTTACCACCTCAACTAAATCAAATACATTTCATACAGTGATGTCGCCGGGATAACTGACAATTATAGCTAGTATAGTTCTTAGGATGGTCTTCAAAGTCACTCTGGTATCTTAAACTCAACCAATCTCTATTTGATCCTAAGATTTATTCAATCTACAACAGGTCTTTTTACCACAGGTATTTACCACTCACTGACATCCCCTTAGTATTGTCATTCAAGATAGAAGTGTGCTACTAAAACTTGTTTTGTGTCGGTATTAGATGGTTGGAGGCAATCGGCCTCAGGAAGCCTTGGACCTAGGTTTCGTGCTAGTTGGCACTCACCAGTCAGTAAGGCGTATCTGTAGCCTTGAAGGAACTCATGTCCTTTCTGAGATTCGAACCCGCTTCACCCAGTGCTGCAGTCACAGACGTTACCACTGGGCTATTCAGGCTCGCGATATTGATTGCACACTAGTCAGTAACTAGTGTAATGTGTCTAGTCCTAGACACAGATTCTAGACGCGGGTTCGAATCTCAGAAGGGACATGAGTTCCTTCAAGGTTGCAGATACGCCTTGCTGTCTGTTGAGTGCCAACTAGCACAAAACCTAGATCCAAGGCTTCCTGAGGCCGATTGCCTCCAACCGTCTAATACCAACATCTCACAGTGCACCGTAATGGCGAGCCACCTAGCATGGTGACCACACTGCAAGCTTGACTGATAAAATTGTTTTGTGTCACCAATATGCACCACAATATCCAGAGAATCATAGCTAAACTGACCTTCTTGGTGTTTCATCCAGTCATCAAAAAAGGGATGTGATGACTGTTGTAGATCCTGGATGTTTGTTTTTAGATAAGTTATTCAACAGAACTTAAACATATATTCCCGCCAGTTTTTGTTGATATTATTTGGGATTCTTCTTCTTGCCTTCCTTTATTTTATCCCTAATCTCAATTATGAATAATTCGAGAGGTAGAATAATTCGACGACCAGTTTCAAAAACTATAAGCTTCCAAATCTTAACAGGTATTTTTTTTAAAATTGATTTTATATCCAATTCAGTACTCAATCTGTCTGTCTGTCTATTTTCGACATAGAACTTTGCACAAATGTGCGGAAGTTCAAGTCGCCACACTCCGTGTAGCACGCGAAGCAAGAAAAGAAAGTACAAGAAAAGCATAATAGAGACAGTGAGCAGAGGTGTGAGACAAAGGAGGAGTAATAACGAAGAACAAAACAGTTTCATTGGAGATCATAAGTTACAAGGAGTGGATGCATCTGCGTCAGCCATTGAGAACGATTTTGAGCCATATCACCAATTGTTTCCAACCATAGATTTTTACCGTCCGGAGGACCCCAGCCTGGAAGTCTACACCTTTCTACGTGGCTTAGACCAACTGTTTTGGATTTCATTGACTGGTGGGGCCAAGTTTTTGTTTGACCGCCGTTAGCTTTTTTTCCAGCCTGACCCTATATCCGAAACGCACGCGAAACCTCTCTACTACTCAGTACTCAATAAAATTCACTGTTTAATCATTTAAAATTAACCCTAAACTCTAAATCTCACCAATCTACGAAAAAGGCTAATTTAAATTGGCTGTTCTATGTTAGCTTGAATAGAAAGAATCACAGTTACTTACTTGGCTTAGTGATTACAGCGGTGCAACACAATGCTATCTCTGTATCATTCAACATTAATGCATTGAAATTCTCGGAAAATGAAAATATTGAACATACAACACTCGGCTAAAAGATAAAAAGAAGAGATAAAAAGTACTTATTTTTAAAAACAGACGTCAGATAATGAAGAAAGGGACCACAAGAGTATATACAAGTATATATATATATATATATATATAAGTATTGAACTTAAACCTCTTACCTGTCGCCCGATAACGAAACATTTCAGTAATTTCTGAACTCCCCGTTTACGCAATTAGAAAAAACAATAGATTGAATTATTTTTTTATCCCTTCACATTCCCAGTGGAACATAGGGCCTGAAGCTAGAGGCTTGAAGTTTCTGTCGCAGTGTTGATTACTTTAACAGGATGGGTTTGCTAGCCTCATGCCCAGCCTTTCCTCTTTACCAGTTTTATAACTGGCTTAGCGAGATAGAGGTTGGTGTGACGCTAAATCACGGATTGGTAGAAGTTAGAAATCATGGACTGGCCATTGGATCGGGTCCCAGTGGCTGAATGGTATACGAGCTTGCTGGCCTTGTAACCAGAAGGTCCTCGGTCCGAATCCCAGTGGGTGCGTACTGACGATGATTCTCAAAGTAGGATGAAACAGCTGTCCAGTGCTGGTTTTCAATGGTTCTCTAACTGATATCAATCCGTGATCAACTCGTAAAAACAAAACTAACCCTTACAAACCAAACTATAGAAAATTCACTAAAATTGTAGGAATCAACAAAGTCAAGAGATAGTTAGTTACAAGGGGAGGGGGGAAATCATTTTTAAAAACTTCATACTTATTATGTAGTTAGTTGGTCATGGCAAAGAAAGGGGCTGTACAAGTTTCTTTAGAACACACAGATTTGGCTTGTTCAGAGGAATGCCGATTGCCTGTGTTGTAATAACTTCTTGTTAACGCCTAAGAATCAACTAGAATATTGAATTCCGTAGTTAATTAAGTTTCACCTCCTCCACGCCTTCAAAATGTATCACTAACATCGATTAGTTAACTGTTTTGATGACCTTTAACCTCTTAATTTCACCATCCCCCCCCTATGCCTAAAACTGATTAGCTAAAGTAAACACTTGATTGGTAAAATTTCGGTGTAAAAAACGACTGTCTTTCTCGTCTGGATATAAGCTCGTCAGTGATGTACCCAATTTGACCCAGCTCAAAGAGTTGAATCATTTTAAACCACCCGAATTCTGGACGGTTACTTGAGCGAACTAGTAATAATACGTTAAATGGAATTTCCAAATGGATTCTGTATTTCACTCCAGATTGTGTGAATAAGAAATCGCATAGTGCGAATTCGATCTAACCGTTGCCGTTGTAAGATCGTAATTCTCTTATATGGGAAAGAGTTAGCAGTGGTCAAGTTCCCATGATCCAGCCCTGTGGGGGCGGGGGGGAGATGTAGACAGTCTGGTTGAAATCCTTGAGAGTGTTGGTGGAGTGGCTCAAAATCATTCACAGTGAACCATATAAATTTACTGTCTGTCATCTTCCAGGTCCATAAAATTCTCATTCTCATTGAAAATTTCAGGTTAGTCACCATGGCTATTAAAAATTTCGCATATGCAGGACAGTTTAAACTTCATTGATCAATCAATGGTCAAAATTTAAGGACTTAAACCAACTATCATTTGACTATGTTTGGACCAAGGGAGGGGGCTGAATGCTTTACATAGGCACTCACAGGTTAGCTTTAATTTCCATCAAAATTTCTATCACGTAATCGCTTTGATTAGAGTAGCTTTCATTTTGAAAAAACCCCACTTGAAACTGAATGATATCATCAGTAAAATGGCCACCGACTAAAAAATCATTTATCGTGGAAGAAAAAATGAGTTAATTGATATAGACATAGTGAAAGTGTTCAACGGACTGAGTGAATTTAAGTATTGGACTTGGAATAGAAGTGTTGCAGTTCATGTTGCTACACCCCGTGTAACACACAAAGATGAACAAAAGACACGAAAGAATAGATTAGAAAATTATTATTATTACTATTACAAACAACAATTTGAGGAGGGGTGTGGATAGAAACGCGGAAAAACATAACGGTTTAGTGGATTTAGGACATCACACAGAGTGAATCTATCTCTACACACTGAGAACGGTTTTGAGTCAGTAGTCTCCAGCTGTTGGTTCTTAGCATCCCAAGTACTCAAACCAGATAGTCTGCATCCTACATCGCCAAAACCAACTGCCAGAGATTCCGAAAATTCATGCCAGGTTTTGGTTTAACTCCACCTCTGGCCCTTTTCCAACCTAAGCCAATGTCGGCTAACATTTTTCGTCGATGAGGACTACGGTTCTCAGCATTCGCAGCACATGTTCTAGCCGCCTCAGCGGATGAAGCTCCTTAACCTCATGAATCAGTCGACTTATCCAGCTTATCTAACACTCTACGCCTAATCTAACCATCACTCATCATATTATACTACTTAACAGCTGAGACAGAACGTAAATATCCATGGTCATATATTTAACGGTTACAATCGATACTTCATCTGACTGGCTACAATCACTGTTTGTTTAAATTCAATTATCTAAAATAGATTTCTGATTCAACATGTTATTATTATTATTGTTTCCTTTAATTCCTAGGGGAACATAGGGCTTCAAACGCGCGTCTCCATTGCGTTCGGTTCTCTGCTGGAGTTTTCATCTGGCTCCAAGTCTGCCCACACGCTTTCATCTCCTCTTCACATGACCTCCTCCAAGTCGCCCTTGCACTGACGACCAACTCGCCACTTCCCTTTCAGGTTCCACTCGAGTGATGGCTTGTCTAGCGATGTCACTTGATGGTTTCCTGAGAGTATGACCAATCCACCTCATACAGGCTATGAGCCATAATTATTCTATGAGAGTTGACAATACTGTCCCACTGCTCAGGCGCGATGCAAACTTAGAAGCCACTGGTTGAAAATCGAATCCTTAATCCAATGAGTCACATATTTAATGCTGTCAATACTGTTTTTCAGATGTAAGATATCAAAGATTATAAGGATTCAACTTTCATCCTCACTTACAAAAGTAAAAATCAATAAAGATATTTGTCTTTTCAGGTATTGGTATTGTAGGGATTTTTGTCTGATTGCATGGAGGATTTCATCATGAGCTGACATCAGTTAGAGAACCACTGGAAAACCTGAAGGGAGTACTGGACAGCCAGGTGTTTCGTCAGCCTAGTTTGGGACTCTTCCACAGCAGTACGCACCCACCGCAAGGGTCCAAACCCAGGACCTTCTGGTTACAAGGCTAGCGAGCTCGTAGACCATTGAGCCACTGGGACCCTATCCAATGGCCAGCCCATGAATTCTAACTTCTGTCAATTCACGCACGACCATTTCGCAATGTCTTCTTCGATGAGTTACTGCCTCATCTTCAACCTGCTGCAGCCTACTGGTCACGGCTTCCCACTAGAACCGCAGGTTAACTCCCTGCCTGAATAGGACCAGTCACTAGTGAACTGGTGAAATCCTCCACTAATTAAAATGTATTGCACATTACAACTAGAAGTTTATTAAGTGAATATATATATATATATATATATATATATATATATATATATATATATATATATATATATATATATAATGTCAGAGACATGACAAATACACAATGAGTCGTATTAAAGCGATGATTACATAATCACAACAAGCATAATGCTACCCATTTCATTAATTATGTTATAAACATATACAAAGAAACGTACACACGCACACACACACACACACCAACGTAAATGCATAATTTGACACTAGTACATCTGTGAGTATGTAAAGGTATACGTATAGAGTGACATGCTGCTAATACTATTATTACTAATACTATGACCAATATTAACTGTAACCGTAGTTTAAAGTAAAATCAATTCAGGTTTATTAGAAATCATACATAATCTTAGTCATTTGGTTAGTTGTATATATATATATATATATATATATATAATATTAAATAATATATGTAAAAAGTTCATAATATACCTACATACATATATATGCACCAGTATATTCGAGTTATTTTATTTATAAAGTCATCATGATAAACTGAGTGAATCAAAATTGTAATAGTAACACTTGTGTATCAATTATTGCACAGCATGTATATTAAACAAAAGTATTTGTGTGCTTTTCTGTTGTTTTCTGTTATTTGACTATTCTGTACACTAAACATACATCCAGATACACACAAACATTAGCAATTCAAATGGATATTGCGCGCCATTTTACAAACGTATATGGTATGATTCCATCAGGCGAGTGTACCCACGCTCCTCAAGAATACAGGCATTTATAAATATATGCATTCAGCAATTTAATTAATTTTACGGAGGTAAATTTAAAAATATCTCAAGGGATATAGATGATGAAATCAACGGTAATCGTCAACAGTCAACCATTTTCAGGTTTAGAGTAAAATTATGTAGCACGAGGAATCTTTTTTTGATAAAAATTAGCTGGAAGTTTAAAACAGATATGGATACGCATATATATATATATAAACTATATGCATTACCAATGACAAAAATCACAACAATAACTTCAGTAAACACTAGTGTGAATTAAAGATCTGAAATGATGTAAAACTTATGTGACATAGTTCAGTTATAAATATCACAGACTATACAATAATAGTGCGTCGTTGGTAAAGCGGTTAGGACGCTCGCCGGCCATACACATGGTCCGGGGCTCGATCCCTGGCCGACGCACTCCTTTACCTCATTAAGCCAGTAAACAAAATAGCTGGTAAAGAGGAAAGGTTGGGCATGAGGCTAGAAACCTCATCCTGTAAAATAAACACTGCTACAGAAACTTCAAGCCACTAGCTTGAAGCCCTATGTTCCACTGGGGAACGTGAAGGAAAAAAAATACAAATAATAAGTAGGAACTTAGGATGAAGAGATTAATATTATTGGTAAATAGTTAAGATTATGCTAAACTATTAAGTTTTATTGAATTTTCAGTAGCAGCGGCCTGGTTAAAACTTGGGCTACCACGAAAACTGTATCTTTATTGTGTATATAATTTCTCCTGTACGGTATCCTGTCATATATAT